CCCCCCCCCCCCTCCATCCCCTCCCCACCTCCCTCCAACCGCCTTTTTCCCAAACCCGTCTGACTGGATCTGACTCAATAGCTTCGCTCAACATCTTGTTTCCCTTGTACTTCATCCAACCTCATCCAGAGCAATCGGTGAAACGATGCATGGCTCTAGTCTAGTGTTCCCATGGGATCCCATGTTCCCAGTGCAAAATTGACAGCCAACTCCAATTACAGACGGTTGGGTCTGAATGTTCTAACCAAAGCGCACCGAAGTGGAGTGCAGTACCTCAGTAACCCAAAAAAAAATGAGTGAATCGTGTAAGCGAATAGGCATAAGAGGAAAAAAAGGGCTTTCCCTTCTGCAACGTTCAAAAACGTCTTTGTGTCAATGAAAAAAAGAATGTAAAACGCCGTAATACAGCTAAAATGAGGAAAAAAAGTAAATATGCTCGTATTCCGCTACTTAGTGCGAAGTATTTGGATTGATTTGCTTTTTACAGGTGGAATACCTTCTATTTTTAGTAATCAGGAAATTTTCAAGGTGATCTTAGAAAGTAATCAGTGAACCATCAAAGTACGTCATCATGCCTCACCTGAACGGATTGACAGCGACAAGAATTGGGCCAATGTACGTGTATATGTGGCCGCTGTTAAAGCGATCCCTGAGATTGTCAAGCAATGTCTGTTCAGTCAGCTCGGGAAGCATACACAGGTCGGCATATTCTCGATCCTACAACATCACAGATTTTTTGAATTAGAAAGCCGAAATGTCCCTACGCAGGCTCAATGGTAGATAGGAAGTCGTTTTCCTGAGCCCTTCGAGGCACTAGGGAGAAATAAGGCGCACACCAATAAGCCCACCAGCTCAAGCGCATTTTTAAGGGCCGCAGCTCAGACTGAATGTTCGGGTAGGTCTGTTGATTGCTTTATTGGCACTTCTGCAAGCGACTGACCACACGCTTCTTTGTGGCCGAAATGAGAGGGAATTCCCCACGAAAACACTTTATTTCATATCATGCAACGAAAAGACACTATCGCTGAGTCTGCATTGCTAGTGTTCCCAGTTTAGGATCGGGGCTGTCCTGCTGTCTCACCACCCCCTACATTTTTGCATTATCAAACCCTACAGGTTCGAAAGGTGCATAATGTACAAATCAAAGTAGCGTATCGAGTCCTCGACACCCCATGGTATCCTGCCCCTTTTAATCTGGGGAGATGATGTTGATCTGCGTGTTTTTCGTAGCGCCTCGATGGGAAGATCAACCCCATTCGTCTCTAATTCATGTGAAAATCATGATCCCATGAAGTTCCATCGTTTAGGCGTCCTCATTTTTGGGTATGTCCGACAGAACATTTTGACGAACCTTTTCTTTCGGTAAGCTTCCATACTTTCCGTACGAATAAGGTTTCACTGCGGTCTGAGCAGAGAGGACAACAGAAAGCAAGCATGGAAGGAAAGAAGGATGTAAGTTCGGCGAGAAATGCACTTAATGCTTAATTTAGGGGAATGAGGGAGGACTTTTTTTACAAAGGAAAAGAGAATTCCAGTTTCATCATTAGCACCATTTCAACCTACCCAGATTTCGTAAAAATCAAAGTTTGATCCAATCGGCATGCAGTCTGAGTAATGTGGCCTTTATCCTTCCTATTGCCCCATTTGATTCCTTGTAACTCACCCTTTCCAGGTAATCATTACGGGTGCAGGCTCAACGAGGTGAACCCGATCGAGCGTTAGTTCTGATGACCAAGGGGACCCTTGGAAGCTGCTGCCCCCAACAAAAACAAAGATTTCAGGCCATGGTTAGAGGGGGCTCAAAGCGCTCGACTGTTTGTAGGGCAGTCATACGTACGCGGACGTGCTTCACATTGGATTTATGACATGAGGAAGAAGAAAAAAGTAGAGCTGCTGCGGAAAAGTGAGCAGTTGCGAACTGAAGAGGAACGTTTTTCTACGAAAATAAGCTGATGCTAATTAGCGTTTTCTAGGGATTCTAGCGGTGAAAAAAACACTCGACGGTCTAAGAGTAGCTGAGCAGCAGCAGTGAGAGAGAGTCGCTAGGAAAAGGTCTGATATAAACAGAAATAGTAAGACTCACGTGAGGTTGCTGAAGAAATCTTGCCAGAAATGAATCTATTGTACTAGCAGCTTCAGCCGAACCAAATCGAGTACACGACGAACCTGTACGGGCTCCTTTATGCCTTAAATGTTGGTCTTGAGTTGAAATACAGTAGAAAACAGTAAAGGGCTTTGACTTTCAAGGAACTACCTGAACACAAAACGATAGTTGTTAACTGTCTGCTCTCCACCGGGCATTCGGCTCCAGATCAGCTGTGCAGCTACAGGATATTCACCACGGTCCAATCTCCGTTCCTGAATTGTGACACTCAAGCACAATATTCTGAATTTTAAGAGACCGCCCAGAGGTGAACTTCAACGACCACTTGATTTCTCTAATGACCAAAGGAGGTAACCCCTGATCCGAAAAAAAAACGATAAATAGCGCCACATGACAATATCATATGCTGCATTCATACATTTATAGCGTGCATCATGTCGCGCAGTGCGGGAAAAATCGATAATGCATGCTGTTACAAACAAATGCTTAAATGAGCATACCGCCTTCTGTGAACAAAATAAATAATTAAGAAATGGTGCGTCTACATACTTTTGAAGCCTGTCCATCGGGAGTCACCATCATCTCAAAAATGTCAAAATCTTCGGCAGATTGTCCAGCCAAATCTAAATCGAACAATGTCAACCTCATCGGTATTCTAGTCCGAGCCCTCTCTACAGCTTACCTGAACGTAGAGAGATCACACGTTCGATGAGTTCCTCGGTGGTGGAGCGTTTGTGCAAGTCGATACAGACGCGATCATTCTGATCTTCAGGATTGAAACAGTGCATGTACACCTGGAATGGTTGCTTGGGTATGGTCCAAGAGCAAAATGAGGCAGACGATGGAACTCACTACGACCATATAATTATGTGCTTCATCGGGAGCTGTAATGGTATGAGCACGCCGGGGGAAACACCCCAGCGCGCCAGACGAGATCGAATCGAACGACATCAGCAGACGATAGGTGAGGGCTGGATGCTGTACATCGGATCACTTAGCTAGCCGTCGCCTTGTTCTGTAGCTGCCAAAACGAGTTGCTAGCATAGAGAAGCCTGGCTTTGAACCTTCAAAGCGGCGAACTCCTGCAACTACAATACTGATCAAATACAAAAGTTCAGAATCTAAAACTTAACTAAACAATCCTCGGAGTGGAACGTATAAATAGGGGTGGCCACACCTACGCTAAGTATGCCATTGGCTTCGGCTACAATTTTGAGGAGAAAAAATAAGAAAGTTTGGAAAAGTCGAAGCTCTTAATGTAACCTAATGTAATCTAACCTACTAAAGTCATCTTCTGACTCAAAAAACTAGGGGCCACCATGTGCCACGAAGGCTACTCACAAAAGGACCAAAACAGTCGGAGCTCTGCTTGGATTTAAAGCGATTTTAAACATATGCTCTCAATTTTTGACAGAGGTGAGTTTCATTCTGGGGGTTTTTTCGAAGCTTCGATCAGACCCCCAAGTAAAACACAATAGAAAGACGATTACTGTAGATTATAGTGAACTCATAGTATAAAACAGAAAATAAAAGTCGCCGAACTGATTGAAAACCGAAATAGATCGAAGCAAAGTGCGTGGAAAAGCTGAGTTAAAGGCACAGTTCACGATAAATTTAAGGTACCCTTTTAGGTCTAGAAGGGGAAATGTTGATGTAGAGGGGTACATAGGTGACGAATAAAGCTAGTAAATCCGCTTCCTTTAGAACCTCGAAAGCAGTTGAAGTGGAGGTTGTGCGAGATCACCGTGACGGGAATGGCATGTAAGGGGTGTTGGACGAGATTTAACTCGCTCTCATTGCTCAAAGAGATGACTGCAT